TAGACGCGCATGCGACGGCAGAGCGCCCACACGCGTTACATGCGGTCTCCGACGAGTATGACGACGGCGCGGCGAACGCCACATATGCACATGCACATGTGCTCGTTGGTGTCAGTGTAGCTAGGACTCCGGGTGTCTTCGTACGACAGACGCGACGCACAGCAGGCGTTTCACATCTTTCAATTCAACAGTGTCCCTTTGGCTAAACTTTCAGTCCGTCCTCACAGAAAAGAATTCTTGGAAAAGAAGTTTACGACAAAAGTCAAAACTCCCTCGCACAACACTGGGCACGGGACTCGCGAACTTTCCCAGCGAACTGCAACAAAAGAACATGGCTCAGGGGCCCACCCGCGAGGTGGGTGCTAGCATGAGCCCGATCCGTCGCGTCTGAGCCACAGCGTGTCCCGACTCGACTGCCGGCGTCCCAGTCCGGGGGTGTTTCTCTTCTTATCCGTTACCATGTAGAGCAACGCCGAGGGCGGGCCCTTTCGGGCTCGGGCCGCCCTCTCGCCCGCGCCTCTGCGGGGCTCGCACGTGGTAGCGGCGGTCTGCTCACGACAGTGAGTGGGCTCTTCACGCTATCCACTGCGCCGCGGCTACGCCGCGCCCATCCAAGCCCAGGGCTTGGTCTGCTGATACCCGCTTCTCGCTCAGCGCATCTCTGAGGCTTCCCGCGCGCCGACTGCTACGCGCGCGGCGAGAGGCGCACCCCATCGGGGACAGGATTGAGGCCCCTGTACATGCTCGGCAACGCCGCCGTCGCTGCCCTCCCGAGTCCTCAACATGATGCCGCACATGCGCAACCCATTCTGCGCACACGCCGCAGGGAGGAGTTTTCACTCCACCGACCGAGTTTCTCCTTCCTGCAGGGCGAGAGACATCAGCCTCTCTACTTCCAGGAGAACATCTACGCCACACGCTATCCCGACGGTCCACAACCCACACTCTCGCTGCAGTCGATCCAGCCCTCGCACTCCCCACTGGAGATCTAGCGAGGCCCCCCAGGCTGGGACAGGATTGGAGCCCCTGTGCTGCGTCTGTGGTGATATGTGGGGACACTTTCTCCTCCCTATTCATGTCAGTCACTCGACTGCGTCGAGGGGGGGGACGTCTGAGCCACAGCGTGTCCCGACTCGACTGCCGGCGTCCCAGTCCGGGGGTGTTTCTCTTCTTATCCGTTACCATGTAGAGCAACGCCGAGGGCGGGCCCTTTCGGGCTCGGGCCGCCCTCTCGCCCGCGCCTCTGCGGGGCTCGCACGCGTCGCAGTGCTCTTGCGTTACGGCGGTAGTGATCCCGAATGCCCGTTCGGAAAAGCAGACAAAAAGAAAGCGCGGGCCGTCTCTTGGGCTTGCACTAAAGCTGACTATCTACAAGCAGGCGATGAACGCCACCTCGCTGTGCGTCGGCTTGGATCAAACGGTCCGCGGCTACTTCGCCCAGGCGTTGTCGATGCTCGACTCCTCGGCACCGCCGCTGGTGCCGCTCTCCCGGGCGCTGCTGAAGCGGGGAGACGACTCCACCTCGAACGCCATCATCGCGGCTTTTGCTTGCGACAGCACCTTCGCGGCCTTCGCCAAGAACGAGATGGACGGCATCATCGCTCGCGACGATGAGGACGCCGAGAAGCTCGCGGCGGGGATCCGCGAGGCGGTCGCTCGCGGCGTCCTCGATCCGAACCCGCCGGTGGAGCCTGTGTGCAAGGTCAACGTGGCGGGCAAGTCGGCCGACCAGGTCGCGGGTGAGATCGTCGCGAAGCTGGGCG